CTTTAGCTTCGCCTTCTTAGACACATGCAAAGAAAAAACAGCTCCAACCGGAAGCAGCGCAGCAACAGCAGTAACAACAACAACAACAACAGCAGCAGAAGTAGCAGTAACAGCAGCAGCAGCAGCGTGTAAATGTCGGCTAACACTTGGCTGCGTTTCCTGACTGTAGCAAAAGAAAATAACGAGTAAGTTGTGCGTGTGCACGACTAGCAGATGTTCTGCAATTGTGTAGTCAGCGAGTAGAATTCTGAATAGTACTCAATAGTATTCATTGCAAATCTGTCTACCTAAGTAAAGAGCCTAAATGAGTATTGCCTATACGAAGTAGTGAGCGTGAACGTGTATAAGTGTGAGTAGTACTTAAGTGTACTCATTGCAAATCTTTTAACATAAGTAAAGATAATACATGAGTACTTTCGATACTGGCTAGTCAGCCGGTAAAAGTCGCTCTACATAAATAAAGACCCTAAAGAAAAATTCCGATACTTTGTAGTTAGCGTGTAAGTGCAAAAGTATGACTAGTACTCAAATGTACTCTTTGCATAGGTAAAGCGCCGAAAAGAGTGATTCCGCTTCTGAGTTGTCGGCGAGTATATGTAGAAGTAGTACTCAAAAGTATGCATTGCAAATCTCTTCAGCCGAAATTAGTACTACCAGCTATCAGCGTGTAAAAGTAATTCTGATACTGAGTATTATTATTATAAGTATGAGTAGTACTCAAAAGGACGTATTCCAAATTTCTTCAACTTTAGCATGCCTCACTTCGCACACTGCCTGAGCACAGGGTAATACAAAAAGCTGAGAAAAAATGCCAAGAAACATACTCAACAGCTTGCTTATATGTTACTGAGACTCAATTGCATTGGGTGCGGCGCGCATTGGTGGGGGCGGAGGGGGACAGCGCTTACAGAGTCGACTGGCTGCCAATGTGTGAATTACGAGTGTATTTTGTACCGTCTGTGATTTTAGACCCTTAAAGCTGAGCACCAGAGCGGCAAACGATTTGTGAATCACTTTTTTTTGGCTGAAATAAAAATCTAATGTAATTTGCTTTAAGTTTGCAGCCGCAAACAAGGACTGATTCAAGAACACGAAGTTCAAGAAACAAATTCAATAAACTCACGTAAGAAAACCAATGTCCAACAAGCCAAAAACAAGCCCCAAAATAAGTTAATGTGGGGGGAGCGAGAATAATCTTAATTTTCCACAAAAGAAACGTGACACATTTTCGCTGGTCAAAACCAGTCAACGCATCGCAAAACTGTTTCAAACTTTGCAGAGCACACACACACACACTCTCTAAAGTGAGTGTGCGTGTGTGGTGTGTGTGTGTGTGTGTGGTGTGTGTAAGTGGCCCAATTGATTGTTGCTTGTTTTGCCTTTGTTTAGTTTTGGGTTAGCCCCAAAAAGCAATTTCTTTTGTATTGCGAGCACACGCAACATGAAAATTGTTTGGTTTGTTCTTTGTTTTCAGGTGGACGCAAGTGGACTCTTGGCCAAATGTCTTAAGCAGCCAATGAGCACACCTGTTGGAGTATTCATTTTAGACATAGTTCGTTTAATTGGCATTTGTACAACACATATTAGATAGGCTTTTCATTTATCAAGTTTTATTTTGGGGCTTTGGTCTCAGTATATATATGTCTTTCTTAGCTGAAACGGAATAGGTTTGCTGGTATGAAACATTTTATGAGAAATACACAGCTCAATCAGTTGACAATCATAAGATTAGGGCACGCAGGTTAGTTTGAGGATAAATTTTTGAAAAAGAAAAGGAATTTCGGATTCGAACTTTGATAACTTAATTATAATTATATGCTGGGACTTCTTGAAATGTTTGGATCAGCAGCGTTTTGGAATTGATTTCTGTAGAGTATAGAAACTGGCTAGAAGTTCTATAAATATGCTGCTCAAATATTATTATATATTATTATTGACAGGGCCTGCGTTTGGCCTGGGTTTGCCCTGGGCTTGGCCTGGGCTTGGTCTTGATCTATTGTGTCTCCTACGGGTAAACAATATTTCTCTTTGCCTTATTATATATTACAATTCATTGATATTATCCTAGTTTCAAGGCATAATTTCTCAAAAGAACAACCCAGAAGCTAAGAAAATTTCAGCCAGCCTAAGGCTGGCTAATTCTCTAGTATAAACTCTGGAGCTTAACAAAAATAGAAAAATATGAGAAAGAAGCATTTACTCTAAACACAAAAAGAAAATCCCCTTCCATGAGCCAATTTTCGTATTCGCTTAGCAAATTGTTTGGATAACTCTTCGAACTACCCACGCGGCATCAAAATAAAGCCTCAAGTGCTTAACAAAATCTGTCAGACACATGGCCGAAAATGTCATTTCGTCTAAATACACCTTTTTGCATTGTGCCTCTGTCGTTTTCTCGGTTTGATTTATTGTATGCCCAAAAGTATTTGCGGCTTGTGTGTGTGTGCGTGCGTGTAGGGCAAGTGCATATATCTATATATAAAGTATGTAAATGTCTGGCTGATTTGTTTAAACAAACGAGCACAAAGTGTGCTGGTGTGTGTGTGTGTGTGTGTGTGTATCCCTTGTCCCTACAGCTGTCAGCTTCAATCTTGTGCTCTCGTTTGTGCCCTTAAACCAAACCCTGAACGACCGCACTTTCTTCTAGTGTTTGCTCCGGTTTTGTTACATTCGGGACTGTGTCTGTGTCCGTATGACGTCTGTATGTCGTCCACTTGTCATGTCACTCAGCGTCATTGTCATGCAGACAATGCCAAGCAGAGTCGGTCTTCAATGCTGCTGCCCACAGCTAACTAACCCTCAGAACTCGGACTGCCCCGCCCTCGGTTCTCACATACAGAGGCAGCAGCTATTTTTCGTTTCTTGCATTTCATTTACATTTTCAATGTCAGGTTCGTTTCGAGTTGTAAACTTCAGAATGCTGACATTTCGTAATTTACCGTTACAAATCAATTGTCAAGTTATAGCCAAGCAGCCCCAACAGCCCAACCCTCGGCTGCCCTCTTTGTCCGCGCGTTGATGTCCTGTGGAAATGCCCGAGGAAAAGCAGCAGCAGCAGTAGCTGCCTAAAGCATTTCTCACAAATGTGTTGAAATATTTTACGCACAATTTATGTTAATTTGCCCACAGTTTAGCCATAAACACACACCAATACACACACATGCACAACATATTTTTATGGCCCGCCTCGATATTTATGCGCGATTTTTTTCGCATTGGACAAAAATGGTTTAGCCTGTTTATAGTATGCTATATATGGATATATAAACACACATATATGGGTGTACGTGCTTTAGCAAAAGTTTTGGGGTTCATTGCACATACACACACGCACACACACACACACACGCACACACACACACATGTGTGTCCTGGCTATATGTTAACATTTTGACAGCAAAGGCTTTAAGTTGTCAGCGCGTTCTTTAGCCATATTATTGCTATTGTCATTGTTGTTGCTAGAGTTGTTGTTGCTGTTGCTGTTGTTGTTGTTATTGTTGTTGTTCTTGTTAGCATTGGCGCTTATTAACATATTGTTGTTTTGCGCTTGTCGCGCCATTGACAATTCATTTTGCTATCACCAACACACGAAAGCTTTCCGACACAACCTAAAAACAACACCCAAAAACTTGTACCCAAAAACAATACCCGAAATATACAACTCTCCGTTAGCCTGTAAAAGTTTTCGGTGCACAAGGGGTATGACTGCATTTGTTATCGAAAAGCAATAGAACATTTTATTCTAAGACGATTTTTAAGTCTGTGATCGATTTGAATATTTATCGATCTATGCAACAAGCTATATGTATCGAATTAACATGCACATTGGGGCATGATGGTTCGATGTCTATCGATTGTAGTCAATAACACGCTCGTATGCAAGTTGCCTCTATGTGAAAATAATATGCTCGCCCAATTAGGAATTTTTGTAGGGTGTAGAAATACTTTTACCAACAAAGTATTTATATTTGGCATGTGAAAAGTTTGCTGTCAGCTGGAGATTTGTGCAAATGATAAGGTCTGACAGCTGAACTAAGCTTAATGCGTATAATAACATGGCCAAATGCCGGCCCCACCTGAATGCTGGAATGATTAAAGACAAGATTAAAGCGTGCCCTGTAATAAGGGCCTGTAAAGTGCAACAGCTGCTGCATCAAGTTGCAAATAGATGTGTGCATATGCATATGCTAGCCAACTTATGCCCAAATTGCCGTGCACTTCAGCTGAAGAGCCAGGGAATGAAGGAGGGGGGTGCTGAAGAGAGTGGTGTCGAGGAAGTTGAAGGGAGTTGAAAACATGCTTAAGCTGCAAAGACGTCGCGTTGGCTGCAGCTGCATCTCCAAAGGCATTTTAAGCTATGCAACACACACAGGTACACGCTCCTGTGGCTGCTCGTTATTATTAGCATAATTACAGGCGCATTAGCGTGCTGCGGCTTTGGGGTTCAGGTGGCTAGGCAATTGGCTGTGCAACCTGATTATGACAGTCTAAAAGCCTGCTACAGGCGCCTCCTGCCATGCCACATTAAAGCCGCACACGAATTTCAATAACAGAAGCAAGTACTAAAGACATAGTTTAAACTTATAAATAAAAGAATTAAATTATCTGTTAAATTAAATTAATTAAATTACAGTGTGTTTGTTTATTAAAAATTTAAGAAATTGTTTATATTTAGGCTACAAATATACAAAGAATCTATTTGTAAATTGTAGTTCGCTTTATGGCAAATAAAAACTTTCAGCGCGGATTTTTATACAATATATATATTTTTTCTTACTGTCCATCTAACTGGGGCATTTTCACGTACATTGCATTAATTAGTTTTTCATTGTTTTCATTTTATTTTTACAGCTTTGCCACGCTTCATGTTTACGCAACATTCACCCAGCGCTCAACATTAAACGGCGAAAGGTCACAGAAGCAAGTTTTTTACTTAAGCTGAAGCTCAAACAAAAACAAACGCGCAGTTAAAATCAACACAGATAGAGAGAGAGAGAGAGAGAGAGAGAGAGCGAGGGAGAGAAAGAGAGGAAGAGAAAAAGCTGAGTGTGGACGAAAAGAACTAGGGACTAAGGACCAGGGACTAGGGACTAGGACACAATGCGTTTACAGCTGTTAGGGCTGCTCTGCCTGACGCTGGGCGCCGCCGTCGCTGCGGCCTATCCCAACATCAACAGCAACACACAGTCGAAGCAGCCAATCTACACCTATCTGACTACATCGAGCACGTCCAGCCACAACCATGAGCCAGCTCCCAGTGCCATGCAGCCGGCCATTGTGTATGAGGCGTCTGTGCCAAAGCAGGAGACGCATCCTGCCAGCAACGGCGCGGCCTCAACCACAGCTGAGGTGGCATCAAAGAAAGTCATCGGTTCCAGGTGAGTGCACGCAGACACACAGAACTTGGTGATGTGCGTGCTTTTTTTTTACACAGCAGAGAGGCAAACCACCCAAACAACCCAAGCCACCCAAACCTATTCCACTTTAGGCCAGCGCTGCCTTTGTTTGCGTTTGTTGTTTTTGTTGTTGTTGTTGTCGTTGTTAGGCAAAGTCTTTGTTTGCACAGCTTTTTGCAATTTTTGCCACTAATTGAAATAGAATTTCCCTTTTGTTGTTAGGGCTGGAGGGCGTGGTCAGTTGGCAAATGCCTTAGTATTTTAATTAATTTGCTCAACAGGCGCCACTTGACGGGCGGTCTGCGCCGACCCCACAACAATAAAACACGTGGCATACCTAGCGGCGCAGCATTTAAGAAGAAAAAAACAACAAAATCAAAAATGTAAATTAAAAAAACAAAGCAAAACAACAAAAAGCTTGGCACAAATTGAGTGCTCATTAACTTCAAATCAATGCTAATCAGTTGGCTTTTCCGGCGCACTCTTCGTTCGTTTGGGCTTTGTTTGTCATGCTTCATGCCAAAGGCAGCACAAACTTGGTTCGGTTACAAAATATCAAAAAATATTGATTATAAAATATCGATCAAAAAATCTTTAAATATTTATAACAAATTATCGACTAAAATATCCATATATGTCTATTGAAATATCGATAAATACTAAATACAAAATGTCGATCAATGAATGAATCGATAAATAATTTTCACAAAAATATCTATAAATATCGATTGTGAAGCACAGTATTTGAAGCCTAGCTCGCAAGTTATAAAAGCTTGACTTGGTATATATCCCATGGTATAGTATATAAAGCATGCAAATAATTCACATTTCCGATACCTTCCCCAATTTACCTAAAATTTGAAAAAATATACCGTATTTTTTGGTGTAGAGCCTTGCACTTTGGTATACACACATCTTGGTTTGCCATATTTAAGACATAAAAAGTTCATATAGGTCGGACTATAAATACCAAAGTTACTCAAGAGTATTTTCTTATATATTGTATAGGACAATATGCAGAGGAAAAAAATCTATATTATTTGTTACGGCAGCTTGGCGCTGTCCGTAGGGCATTTCCCAGTTGTATGTATGTAGAGAGAAAAGCTGGAATATTTATTTGTAACAGAAGCTGTCTTTAGGGCTTTTCCCAGTCGTGCACACCCGACCAGAGCACACTTATTCAAACTCGTTAATGTTTGGGGCTTGGTTAAGTCGCGCAACCCTTAAGCACAGCTGTTCGGGGTAGAAATTTTCATGAAAATTAATATTTTTGTTGCCGATTTTCTTCTGCTCCTGTTCTGTTGAGTGCGGGATTCTCGAGTCGTTTCATATTAATTCCGGCGCATAAACAAATTCACAGACTTCTCGGCATATGGCCGACAGTGCTCGGCATGATAATGATAACGAGCAGCTGCCGCTGCGGGTCTTTCATTATAATAATAATAATGATAATACGCCTGTTGGTGGCGCCCTTTATAATACAGCCAGATATCCGAGCGTCTCTTGTGTTATGCATCAATCGACACGGCGGTTTATCGTTTTGTTTCCACAATATATAAATAAAATGCGAAACATTTGTGTTTCATTTCATTGGCAATTTCCTGCCGTTTGTCATTAACAAAAATTGAAATTCAACCATGACAAAAAAAAATAACCATTGAAAAACAACTTTTAATTTAAAAGGAGCGTATGGAGTTTTATTAAATGGCAGAGAATTTTTTTATTGAATAATTACATTAATTATGGTCTTTAAAAAAATTAAGTTTTCCTTTCATTTTTATTTGAAATACAATAATTATGCGCATTTAAATTTATTTAATCCTTTGTTTTTTATAATTTCACATTTGAAAAAAAGTTTTCATCTTAATTTTATAAATACTATTTTTATGTCATAAATATAATTTTTAAATGTGCATATTTATCCCATTGAGACATTATTTTAATATGCTTATTGAAGCTAAAAATGTATTAAATTCAATTTAAATCATAATCATCCTGTTTTTTAAGCACATGAAGAGGCCCGTTTTAATTTTAGCTTATTTTAATCAGCCTGTCAAAAGCATATACATTAATTATGTATATATATATAATTATAAATAAATATATATGTAAATATATATTTTTTTAAAGGGATTTGCATTGTCATTAATAACTTTGCCTGAAGGGAAGGCAAAGGCATACAATATGTAGAACAAAATGGTAGGCATAGATATAGGGCAACTTCGTGGTTGAATTAATGAAATATATATACACACGCTAGCAGAAAATTAGTTAATTAATAATACTTCAAACTGCTAGGAATGTAAAGCTTTTGGTTTGAACCAGCACGTTAAATCAAACTGTAAGACGTGGCCGTGATGCACAAACTGTTCCTAATATATCCTATATATATTCTCAGCACCGCACAACATATAAAATTTAAGCTCACGTGCTTAAAATTAGTGAGCTTTTGCATGTAATCAATTATATGCCAGTCTCGACGTGATTTTTAGCTGCATAGATATTTATCACAGCAGAACTGGCAGCCAGACAGTTGGACAGATATATGACATACAAATAGACATATGTATATAAAAATGCAGCAACAGCTGCATATGACGAAGCACGCGCGACTCACGTGCTTAAATGTTAATGATGTGCCATACGAGAGTCTATCTATACAAAGTATGCAGCTGCTGGCTGGTATCTGTCCGTATACAACAACGTGTAGCTATGTTAACTAACTGCCAGCTAGGCGAATGCGAATGCAAATGCAGCAGGCATTTGGATGGGATTGGGTTGGGTTGGGTTCGAGCGTGACTGTGTGACTTTGGTGCTGCGATTGCAGGCTGCATTCAATTTCCATTAAAATACCAGCGAAGGCGCCGCAAAGTATGCAGTATGACTTTGAGATTTCCAACTTTATCACATTTATTTGCCATTAATCACTGTCACTCCGGCACTCGATAACATATGCTTTTTTTTTTCTTACTCGGCAGCTTGGTTTCCTCGGTGTCCGTGGTGCTCGACGGAAATGAGCCGCAATTTACGGATGCCCTGGGCCAGAAGGTGCCCAAGCCGCAGCCCTCGCTGCAGGTGGCCAGTCCCATAGATCTGCTGAATCCCGATCGCTATGAGTTCTATACGTTCGATGAGCATGGCGAGCTAGTGAAGCGTCTGATGACCATGCAGGAAATCCAGAGCATTGTGGCCAATGGCGACGGCGAGGGACCCTCGATAATACACACAGCTCCGCTGCTGGAGCACGAGCCGGAAAAGAAGGTGCAGGATATTGTGGATAGTGTGCAGAATGTGCTCAACAAGGAGGTGGCCAGCAGCTCCTCGAAGAACAGCTCTGGCGAGCTGTTGCCCGTGCTGGACACACCTGACGTTTCCTCCTCCTGGTCGCTGATATTGCCAGCCATCTTTGGCAATACGGGCGGCGATATATTCCCCCAACAGAAGCCCCAGCAAATTGTGATGACACCCGAATCGGAGGTGCTAGACACTTCAACACGAGCCGCGCCCACCACACAGCGAGCGACAAAGAAGCCAAAGCCTGCCAAGCGCAAACCGGGCAACCGACGCAAGCCGAGCACCAGCACCACCGAGATGACACCGCAAGTGGTGCAGGAGGATTTGGATCCATTGGAGTCCGTCTACACGGGCATACAGCAGTATCAGCAGGCAGCTGCCAATATGCACGACTTTGATATCGCACACATGGAGCCCATTTACCAGAAACTGCCCAGCACCACCGCCAGGCCAGAGACAACCACTCGACGCGTCTTCTACAACAATCAGGAGATAGTACACACGCCCAGTGCCTCGAACACCACCACTGAGCAGCAGCATCAGCTGGCCAAAAAGCCGGGCAATGTGCACCGCAAACCCACACAACCACATCGCGTGAAGAAACCCAGCGGCAGCACGAGCAGCACCACTCAACCGACTGGCGGCAAGCAAAAGGTAAAGAAGAAGCCAACAACCAGCACCACCAGCACCACCTCCACCACCACAACCACAACCACAACCACATCAGCACCCCCAGCAAATGCACCCGCTGAGACCACAACAGCAGCACCAGAGACAACGACAACCACTCAAGCGCCTGTCTCGACCACGCCCAAGAAGAAGAAGCGCAAGCCCACTCGCACACCTGGGCACACGGGCAACAACGGTGGCAGCAGCAGCAAGCCCAGCAAACCAAAACGCAAGCCAACCACCAAGCCTAAACCACAACAACATCAGCACCACCAAGTCCCTGAACAGGCAGCTGCAGCCACTGCACCACAGCAGCAGGAGGTTAGCACAGTGAAGCCAGCGCGTCCGCATCGGCCGCAAAAGAAGCCCAAGCCCACAACGAGCACTAGCACAACGACGACTACAACTACCCTGCCGCCCTCCATCAGCTCAACAACAACAGTTGCAACTGAGCCAACTGCACCACAGCATGAATCAGCGGAAAGTGCAGCACCACACGAGTCCGAGCAACAGGAGCCCGTGCACCACAAGCCCGTGCAACACGAGCCCGTGCATCACAAGCCCGCTGCAACGACAACAACCACAACTACAGTGGCGCCCAGAACCACCACGACAGCTGCAACCACAACGACAGCTGCAACCTCAACGACAGCTGCGCCAAGCAGCAGCACCAGCAGCAGGCGGCCACCCACACTGCATTATGAGAAGCTGCATGGCAAGCCCGCGCATGCCAGCACCACTAGCAAGCGACCCACAACGCTGCATCACCAGAAAATACACGGCAAGCCTGTGCACAGCGCAGCAACCACTGAGGCTAGCAAGCTGGCCGACATCTATGGCCACATCAATGCCAATCCAGTTAAGAGCACAACAACAACCACCAGCACCACACATGCGCCCGTGTATCCCGTGCCCAGCTACGATGCGGAGGCCACCGAGAATTTGCCCACAATTGTGGCTGTGCAGGAGACGATCGAGGCGGATAAGACGCAGCTGAAGAAGACGCCGCTGCCGTTGCCATCGCTGGCCGTGTTGCAACAACAGCTGCAACAAAGCGCACCACCACCACACCAGGCAGCACAATTGTCGGCGGTGCAAATGCTCTCCATGGATCAGATTGTGCAGAGCCTGACACAGGATCTGTTGGCTGGCGATAAAAAGAATGACAATGCGGCTCCTGTCAAATACGACAGTGCGGACAGCAAGGAGCAGATGGAAACGTTGGCCAACAACAAGAAAGTGTCCATCAGTAGCAGTACCACAACCTCAACAACAACCACCAGCACCACCACGACAACAACAACAACCGCAGCGCCCAGAATAAGCACAACAGCTGCGACTACGCCGAAGCCGCTAACCGCGCACTATGGCGGCAGCACGCTGGCCACCATGCTGGATGAAGAGGGGACGAGTACGAATGAAGACAAGGAAGAGTCCAACGAGCAGCAAACCACGCTGAGTAGCATGGAGGTTGGAGCAGGGCAGGAGGAGCAAACGCCGATTGTGCTAATAACCGCAAGACCGCAATACTTTACAACCAACCAGGCACCGGCGCAGCCGCTGCTGTCCACAGCCAACCCGGAGCCGGAGACAACAGAGCTGCCCAGTCATATGCAATTCTTGCTGACCACGCCCATGGCGGCATACGACGAGAGTGAGATGGAGGCGGCAACCACAGACAAGCCCGCAGCTGAAGCCAATCATGTGGTCAAATTCGAGCCCCTGTATGCGGATGTGCCCGAGGCTGTGGTCGCCGAGCTGACCGAGCAGCCCGAGACCAACGAGGAGACAACCACCGAAATTTCTGCGGCACGTTTGCCAGTCACGGACCGCACCACCAGCACCACCAATGCCGATGAGGAGGATAGCACTGAGGTAACGCCCATGATAGCCAATCTGGTGCAGCAACTCAATCTGGAGGTGCTAAAGCCAACCGATCAAATCTCCATGGGCAATTTCCAGACTCAGGCAGCCACGGTTGCCTCCACCCTGGTGGATGGCAGCAATACACTTGTCTCCGACATCTATATGAACTCGAACGAGACCAAGGATGAGCTGCAGTTCCTCATGTCCGATGTTATACAGCAAATCACACAAGATGATGAAACATACAAGCCGGCTGATGACTCTCATCGTTTGACCAACTTTGCCCAGCTGAATACATCATTTCTGTTGCCGCCAAGGCCAAGCACAACGGAGGAGCCGACGAAGCTGGCGACGGAGCAGGAAATCACAACTGTGCGACCCAGCCAAGAGGAGCACAGCAAACAGGAAGCTGAGTACATCAATACGCCAGCACCAGGGCCTGCTCTGATGGAGAGCAGCACATGGCGGTTGCCCGTGTTGTCGCTATCGCAAATTTATGCGCAGCAACAGCAGGACGAGGATGATGATGAACAGCAACTGTTCGACTCGGAGAGAATAGAGCTCCTTAAACCAGCCGAAGCAGCAGACAAACAGGAAGTAATTGATGAGAATAATACGAAAGAGCAGCAACAGGCGGAGAAGCAGAAGCAAACGGACACGCAGCAGCAGGCGGAGAATCAGGAAGAAAAGCACGAAGAAGAACATCAGCAGCAGGAGGAGAAGCAGCAGCAGCAGCTCGAAGAACAGCAGAAGGAACAGCAGCTGGAGGCAACAACAATGCCGATAACAGACACCACGGAAGCAGCAACAGCAGCAACGACTGAGCAAGTGCAGCAGGCGGAGGAGAGCAGCAAGGAGACCAGCTTGCCTGAAGAGGTGACAACGGTGTCAGGCGTGGAGCAGCTGCACGACGAAAAGCCAGACGCGCCGGAGCGCGATAGCGAGGAGCAAATGCCCGAAATGTTGACAAATGGTTACAACGAGCAAATCCAAGCGGAAGCCACAACAGAACAGTTGGAGGCAGACACCACCGAGCAGGTGCCGGCAGTCGAGGAGCTGGCAACAGCAGCAACAACAACAACAACAGCAGCTGGGTCAACAAATGTTTACCAGGACACACAAGAGCAAACATCCAGCGAGAAGGAACAACAGCAAACAGAGAAAAGCGAAGAGGATGCAAAAACAGAGGAGGTGATGGAGGAGGAGCCGATGCAAAGTGTCGAGGATAGCGCCACAAATGCTGCACAACTCCAGCCGCAGTACAGCACACAGCCTGCTGCAGTAGAGGAGCAGGAGGAAGATAAGGAGAAGAGCGGGCAGCAGCAACAGCAGGAGCAGTCGACAACAAACAGAGGCGAGCTGGCCACGGAAATACCCGGTGATATGTCCGTCGTCTCATCCGAATCGGACATGTCGCTCAGCTCCGAACAGGTCACGGAAAAGCTCGAACTGAGCACAGTGCGCACCATGGACCTAAATGAGGAGGCACTGGAGGATATATCCGATGAGTTGACAGCCACGCTAACAGAGGAGGATACCACAAGTGCACAGCAATATACGCTGGACGATGAGGATCCTTATGTGAAGCTGGGCGAGACGACGGCCAGTGTGGTGAGGCCGCAGCATTTGGACAGTACGGAGGATAAGAGCACCCCTAACCAATCCGTGGAGCAGCAGCAGCAACAGGGGCAGCAGATCTACAAGGTGGAACAGGAACAGTCGCTGGAACAAGAACCGGAGCCACAGACGAACTACCATCTCACTTTGCCCCTGGCCAGCTATGGCAATCAGCAAGCGGACGAGGAGGATGACGAGGATCAGACCGATTATCAGCTGCCCATGCTTCTGCCCAGCAGCAGCACAACCGAAAAGGCGGCTACAACGACCAGCAGCACGACCACGCCCAAGCCCACAACTATTACCAGCACCACCAGCAGCCCAACCATCAGCACCACAACCAAGCGCCTGCACACGCTGAAACCCGTTTCGTACTATGTGCAGCCCTCACTGCTCGGTGGCTACAATCAGCTGGAGCCACAGCCGCCCAAGGTGCTGCCCTACAATGCCAACACTAACAACCTAGGCCAGCGTCCGATGCAACGTCCCGCCTCGCTGACCAATCTGATGGCCGCCTCCACGCAGGCAACACGTCCGCCCGTCAAACTGGAGCCAAGTCCGCAGAGTTCGCAGGGCTTGGAGGCTTCTACGGCGCGACTGGACGAGGATGTGCTCTCGTTTGCCCGGCTGTGTAATGAGCTGGCGTTTAGCTACTGGAAGGCCATCACCTCGGAGAAGATTAGCTCAGCCAGAAGCTTGGTCATCTCACCATTTGCTTTGACCTCAATGCTGTCCATGGTGTTCCTGGGCGCACGCGGCAGCACATCGGGCGAAATGAACGAAATACTCAAGCTAGACGATATGGTTAGCTTTAATCCGCATCTGATATTCCGAAACATAACCAACTCCGTGGAGCAGTCCATGGAGAGCGACATCGCCACAGCCGCCTTTGTGCGCGAAATCTTCAGCGATCGGGCTAATGGCAAAATATTGCCCTTCTTCAAGGAAAAGACGCAACAGCTTTATGGCGGCCATGTGGAGGAGGTCAACTTCCATGTGGTCAACGATATTGTGCGTCGTCGTACCAACTTGCTAGTCAAGCGGCACACAATGGGCAAGGTTCTCGAGTATTTGCGCACGAATAGCGTTTGGGTAAATGGTCCGCTGGCCACGGTGTCGGCGAATCTCTTCCAGACCGATTGCTCGCGCGGCTCGACAACGGATCGCGATGGCGAGATGTTCTTCCAGGTGCATCCTACGGTGCGTCAGCGTCGCCTGGTGCCCATACCCGCGGTCCTCTATCGCTCCGGCTTTACTGCCGGCTATGAACCCAAGCTGGATGCCACGGTGGTGGCCTTTGGACGCATTCAGGACACGGTGAGCACCATATACGTGATGCCTGGACATCAGAGCTCGGTATCGCCCACCGACAATCTGGATCGTCTGGAGCGCAATCTGGTCGAGCTGGCATTTGGCCAGGGCAATGCATGGAGCAACTTGTTGACCTCTCTGATGGATCGGCAGGGCATGGAAGTACAGCTGCCGCGTTTTTCACATCGCTCGTTTGTCAATGCCTCGCTGGGTCTGCAGAAGATGGGCTTGAAGGGTCTGTTCAAGTCGGACTTTGCCGATCTGCGCGGCCTGACGGGCGCTGGCAATCGGGACATTTTCCTCTCGGACATGATACAGATCAATACGTTCAGCACTTGCGGCGAGGAGAAGATCTCCGATCATCATCATGTCGAAATGTATCCGGCGCCGCCATTGCGCAAACGCAACAAGGATGTGGATGCCACAGATGATGATGCCTACGATTCGTCCGAGGCAATTGTGGACTTCGGTTCGCTGGTGCAGGAGTCCGCTCTGGGTCGCGGCTTCTACGATGATCTGCTCGATCCCAAGTACTTGGAGCTGCCGCTGCCCTTGCGTCCCCGTCAGGCGCGTGTGCCAGATGCTCCGCGGCTGCGCTTCGATAAGCCCTTCCTCTATTTTGTGCGCCACAATCCGACGGGCATGATACTCTTCATGGGCCGCTTCAATCCGCGCCTGTTGCCATGAAACCCAAGCCCCAGCCCCTTAGTAAGCTAAAATACCGACAGATACATACAAAAATAATATATAAAAAAAAATTGTTAATGCCCACTTTGACACGCCCACCCGAAAAAGGGACACGCCCATGCGGTCAAAGCAATTAAATAGTGAATTGAAATGCCTGCAATTAAGTTAATTTTATGATTAATGCCAATTGCTGTGCCTTAATCCCGCGTCCCGCACGATACGAGATTGATGTGCAGCAAAAAAATAAGGAAAATACTACAAAAAATACCACAAAAAATACTATACAGAAATAACATGCATTTTTTTCTATGCACGCAGCATATTCAAATATAATATAAACATTTTTTTCCCAGCAAATGTTTGCAGTTTGCTGTAAAATTATTTTCAATTGTTTTCCATTTTTTCTTGTTTGGGCTTGCATTTATTTCATTTGCATTATTATTTTTATACATGCCTTAAACAGCAAAATAAAGTTAAGCGAATTGGCTGCAAAATGCGAATGCAAATGCAATCATGTTTTGGCAACAACAACAACAACAGCAACAACACGAAAACGAACACAAAATGTAATTTAGTAAAATAAACTTAAACAATACGCAAAACTAAAAGTTATGTATGCTATTATGTAAGCTTAAAAATCAAAATAAATACATAAATGAATATATAAAACAAATACATAAAAAACAACCTCACAAATATTTCAAATTGATTCGCAAACACAATTTCAGCACAAAAGCAGACAACGCTGTTGCCCAGCTACTTGCGGTTTAATTCCAAAGCTTGTAACGTAAACCGGAAGTGTTCGTGTCGCACTTTTTGTGCCAGTGCTGTGCAATGCTGTCAAACAAAGCATATGACAGGCAGGCCAGCATATAAGGAGACGACAAAAAATTGAGGCACAGCACGCCGAAGTTTGCATGTCCTTTAAAGCGGCAACAGATAATGTAAATTCACTGCTAAGAGACAATTCGCCAGTGTTGGGCAGTGCAATGCAATAAGGTTTATAAATGTGGGGGTAGGCTGAACAAGGATGTGTGCCGAAGCTTTTTAAAACTCTTTAAGTAATTTATGTTAGCAGCCAAAAGTACACCAGAACGACATATAGTGGGATAAGGGGACATACATATATTGCAAAACAACTGTTACCAGTGTTGTGCAACGCTGCCCAAAGAGGCATAAGGTAGGCCAATGCATATATATAGAATGTAAGCAGTAGGCTGAAGTTGAAATGGTATAAAAATAAAAAAATAAAGCAAATATGCAAGTAGAAAGGAGAAATGATGATTAAGTTCATACTAACATCGCTAACAGTGTTGAACACTACTATGCGATTCGGAACGAACCCATCTTACGAGGTAGGCTTATATAACCGCAACTGGCTCTAAAGAGGAACTAGAAAGCACATAAAAAAAAAATTACCCGTGTTTTGCAATGCTGTAAATTCGACTAAAAAGTGAAACCCTAACCAATCTAAAGTCCAGTAACACTGCATAGTCTAAACGGAAGCCAAATAATCACGTTCAGAGTACAAATTCCAGGCTAGGGTATCCATTAAATGTCTCAGCATAGGTTACATTAACCACAAGAGCTACAGTCAAGAAACATTTATAAATAATACCAATAACAATAACAAGATTGAAGTGGGTTCAAGTTTTTTCTACCCCCGATAGTGTATAGAATAGTGCGACAGAAAATTAACAGGCACAAAAAGCAAAACACGAATACCAAGAAAAAAGGCAACAAATAAAGATATTTTAATTAATATTTAACAAGAATACATATAAACGATGCTTATAATGAAATCTGAACGGCTTTGCGAGAGTGTGTGTCTGTGTTTGTGTGGTGTCTGTGGGCGTTTGTTTTGGGCGTGGACGTGTGGGCATGAACTGACTGCCTGAAAGTTTGTCAAACTTTTGTATACACGACTTTGCTGCTACGTTTCCTGATGTTGGTGTTGTTGTTATTAATAATGTTGCAGCTGTTGTTGTTGTTGTTGTTGTTGTTCTAGTTGTTGTTGCCGTTGTTGTTGTTGTATTGCGGTTGCGTTGGCAACTCCGACGTCGACAACTGCGGACGGTTGTTCACTTGCATGTCGTTGTCGTCTCTACTCTTTTTTTTTAGCTTTATGCGGTTTTTGCAGCTACCACGTGTGTATGTGTGTGTGTGATTCTGTGTGTGCGCGAAATCACTGAAACAAGTAGCATACTTTTGGGCCAAACAATTGCCAGGCAGCCAACTGTAGCTAACGCAAAAAACGCAGAAAACACACAACAACAACAACAGCTAAAACAACAACAACTCACTAGAAAAAAGCAAAACGACTCACAGCTAACGACTGCGGATTGCCACGAACTGAGTGTATGTCTATGTGTATATAGTATGCAACACACACTAGCACACACACACACACACTCGGTGTAGTGCCAATGCGCAGCAATTGTGTCTGCCTTGCAACACAGCAATAGGAACAGAAATGAAGCTGACTTTTCAAATCTGCACACAAGCCTGTTTCGTATTTTCATATCCTGTAATCAGAGCAATGGGGTATAATATAATAGGGTAAATGTATCGTTGGAAGAGGTTTCAAAAGTCTCAGAGGCTGCTCCAAAAGGAATGACCTTAGATATGCAACAGATCAGGTAAAAGCTTACATCTCCAAGCCTCTAAGGGGACATAAGGGGCTGTGAAAATGTTTGAAATAAGGCAAACGTATGCAGAAAGGGTCCGAAAAAGGTTTGAAAGAGCAATAAAAGCAACAAGATGTCGAACAGGGAATGTGAGATGGAATGTATCACAAAGAAGGCAAGATCTGTGAGACCATGAAGAGACACAATTGGGTTGTAAAAAGCGCATCGAATAGGGCAGACGTGTCTAAAAGTGGTATATGTAGAGGTTTTTAAGAGTAATTCATGGGTTTAAAACAAAGTTTCTAACAGTCTTATCAAGGGGAAATGCAAGAATGTATACATTCTGAAAAATAATTACACAGAGGGTTATGAAAAGGGGTTTTAAAAGGGGTATTAAAAGCAGTAAGTGGGTATAAAACAGGGTAATGTAACTGGTTATGCACCAAAAGAAGTGCTACAAATGTAAACCCACAATCTGCCTACATACTCGATCGAATTCCGAATGCTTATACCTGACGATTAAGCTTTATCTGTGTAGTATAATTTTGTACCCTATAACCCGACAAAACTTGCATGCAATTGTTATAAAAGCCTAAAACAATAAATTCAAGCATAAGATTATGTATAAGCAGGAGTCTTGGTTAAACTTCTTCAAAGCCAGCTACAGGGTATTTGCTAGCCTCAAACATGCTTCCACATAAAATTTGTTGTTTTGCGCGTTTTTCATGTTAACCAAAAACGCAGAAATGTTGCGTATTTTTCATATAATAAATACCACAGTGAAGCACTTTATTATGCTGCTAATTTGTCATGCAGCTGCGAGCCACGACGTTTTATGCACTAAATAATACTAAAGTGCAACTAATTTGCAAAATTTGTAATGCTGTCAGTTGTTGGTAGCTGCTGCTGCTGCTGCTGCTTACAGCAACTATTTCCGTTGTAGCCAAGTCACAATTTATATCCGCACGTGTTGCGTCTGGACGAGAAGAAAAACGGAAGACAAATCTGTCATTGTGCAACACGCTTGTTACTACTACTATTATTATTATTGTTATTGTTATTATTGTTATTGTTATTGCTATTGTATTGTGTAATAAGAAAAGTATTTTTTTGGTGCCGGTGTTGGAACAATGCGACAGCTGCACAATGTCCGCCCAGACTCAACCCACAAGCCAGCTTTCATTGTAATTGTTGTTCCACGAACTTTTCCTTTTTTCCGTTTTTGCTGCTGTCGCCTTTGTAGTTGGCAGGGTTTCGGTTTACGTTTTCGGCTTTTCCGCTGTTGCTGCTGCTGCTGCTGCTTTTCCTTTGTTTTCCCTCAGCGCTTTGTGTAAAGTGTTGTCTTTACTTTCTTAGCACCTGTCGAAATTACGCAAGTGTCACTTAAAGCGAGCGACAACAATAGCAGCAACAACTACAACAACAATGTTGTTTATATCTTCAACCCTTTTGGACACAATGATTTGTTGCTGCCCTGTTGCTAATGTTATTTGCATTTCATTTGGCGCACCCACGTGTTGTATACTTGATGTAATTTTGGTGTTTTTACCTTTGACCAGCGCTAATGAGTTGTTATTTCCTTTTTTTTTTCACCCTCATTATTTTTGCAAAACTAAATTCAATATGCGCGTACACAACTTTTTTTAGCAGCTGCAACTTTTACCAGTAGCAACAAAAAATAAACCCAAAATGAGAGAAAAAACTTTGACGCTTAATGAACTAGTCACCGCAGCAACCGACTCTGGGGTTACAGCTGCTAATTAATTTACATTAGCAAATTGCAAGCATGTAATTGACTTTTATTGGCATTTCCACTGCAGTAGCAGCAGTCGCAGCAGTAGCAGCGAAAGCAAATATTCGGTATGTACTTTATATAGTCCTATATGCTTAGGTATTAGGTAAAGTTATGTGCTAATCACACATTGGAGACACATTTGCGGGCCACGTTTGTCAACTTGGCTTAATTACTTAGCCACGAGCAGCAGCAGCAGCAGCAAGAACAATATTTACAATTATGTTAATAGATGCTTACATATATTTAAATGTATTAAAAGATATTGGGTCCAAGACAAAAAATAAATATGACTTTAAATTAAGACAAATAAAACCTTAAGCTAAAGCAGTGTTGTAAAGTAATACAAAATATAAAAATACGAAAAATCAGTGTTTTCAAGCATAAATTGCCAAGAATAGCGAGCTTTAAAGCAAAAAAAAAAATAGCTTTGTAAAAGTGGTGTTTGTTGTAAATGTATAAAACAGTCTTAAATATGATTTGAATCTGTGAGAAATAAATATCTAAAGGCATAAGTGTTGTGAAGTAATAAAAAAAACACACTATAAATGAACAAAACTAAAAACTCTGTCAGAAAATGCAAATAAATTGCATATAATTATTTACTAGTAAAAGCTTTTAGCTTTCAATTATTCGCTAAGCAAATAAAATAAATTAACTTTTAAGTGATACCTCGACTATAATCTTCGCTAGCTGAAAGCAATTGCAATTTTTTCTTTTAATTAAATTTGTTGTGCAAAAGCCTTGAGGTTAAATTTGCGATTCCCTTGATTTGACTGGAAAACCAATTAATTGTGGCTTCTTCAGGCCTTATTAGCAATATAAAGAACATAATTTTATTGCTGTCAATTGCCAAACATAAAGTGAGTGTGATTGATATGCTGATGCCCTGTAAATTAGCCATGCCCAGTTACACAGAATAAATATGAGCCACAAATGAGAGAGAAAATAGTTTTGTGTTAAAATATTTATATTTTTAGGCATGTATATTTAAATTTTAAGAGTATAAACAAATATACTTCGGCTCGAATTTTGAACAGCATAAGCATCAGCGCTGAGAGAGGCTTGGAGACATTTATGTGGCATTTTCTTAATTACATAAATCCATTTAATAACTACACATGGCCTTGG